CCCCTGACCCCCCCTGGAAGCTCAGCAGAGCAGAGATTCCTCAGCAGCTGCAGTGCTGTCCAGCAACATCGGCACAGCCCCAGCAGCCAGGCAGCCTATGTCCTGTGACAGCCAAATCTGGCCTTCCTGCCTCCCGAGCCCAGCACCTCCCAGGGCTGCACCCCTCCGCGTGCTCTTTCAGAGCTCTCTAGCCCTGGCTGTGCAGTCTCACACACAGCCTTCCCTGGCTCACTGTTCCCAGACAGCATGGGTTTCTCCTTGGACTTCTCCTGCCATAGGGACCCTGGAGCAGGAGACCACTCCAGAGGTGGCTCCATCCCTGCTGCTGGGTGATCCTCTCCCTGCCTCTCCCAGCTCTCCCTGGCACTGCTGGACTTGACAAGCGATGTAACCAAAGGGACCACCCTTTTCCTGGAAAGCAGGAGCCGAGCATCCTGCCGAGCACCCTTCTGCCACAGGCTCCCAGTGCTATGCTTAGCTAGCAATGGCCCAAAGTCTCGTCCACACTCATAACCCAGCCCCACTGGACCTGATGTCTGTCACCACAGAGAGCAGAAGCAGCTGCTGTCGTCCCAGCAGACGGATGGGTGCAAGGGAGGCACATGAACAGGGCATGGTCTGAGGAGGTGGCACAATTAATACCAGTAGAGATGCTATCTGGGAATAGCATCTCTGGGAGGTGGATGGAGCGTGGGGAGATGGATAAAGTGTGCCCAGAGAGAGGTGTCTGGAGATGAGATAGAGGACCACATAGGACAGATGGATGAGGAGGAAGAGTCTTCCCAAATCCAGGAGACTAGGGTATGGCTTCAAGGACCCTTGGACCCACAGTGTCCAAAGGGAGGACCTGCAAACCAAGCAGCAGACAGCAGGATGCTGAGGACCATCCTGCAGCTTGCAGCAGAGTCCATGAGAGGCTCAACACAACCTCACTCCTTGCTCAGGAATGCTCAATCCCTGATGAAAGCTCTCTCCAGGCAGGACTCCCTCTTCCCTGTGCCGGCCAAGGGCTGGGTCCCTGGGAGGAGCAGGGCACTGGAGCCCTTTGAACCTCAATCACAGAAATGAGACTTGGAGGAGGATGCTGGAGGAGGAACTGCAGCTGCCTTATGGAGCAGCCGGGCCTTGGGAGGAAGGATTGCTCCCTCTCTGCTCCTCCAGGTCCTACAAACCTGGTCCAGGTACACAGACAGAAGCAGCTTGGGGGCCGGGCATTGACTTCCCCAGTGCTCCCCCTGCTCTGGAGGAAGGGTTCAGCCCCAGGGTCCCTGCTGAATTACAGCTTGCTCAGGGCGGGAAGAAGAGCTGTCACCAGGGGAGAGCTTTCTCCAGCTCTCCACATATGTTTACACCCAGAGTCCACCCATCCCATCGCTTCCATGGGGTGATCTATGAGTCTTGCTCTAGAGTAAATCCAGAGTGGATCCAACAGGAAGAGAGGTGGGAGCAGAGGAGAGTGGAAGGGAGAAGGGGGTTCATCCCTCTAAAGCCCCTACACAAGGGAGAATCCTACACCTGGCTCCTGCTCTCATTTACACTGTTGGAGCAAGCCCTGGTTGACGCAGGAGGAGAAGCAGGTCCCTGTGGACCTCTTCAGCTGCCAGCATCCCCAGGCCCAGCAGCTCCTGACCCAGGCACTGCAGGGACCTTGTCCACTGCCCGTCCTGAGCCAGCCACAGCACCTGCCACCTTTACCCACCAGCTCCTAGGGCATCCTAGAGGGGGATGACACAGTTATTCTGCCCACTGCACAGCGGGGAAACTGAGGCAGGGGCCTCTGTCTAGGACCCCAGAGAGTGGAGCACAGGTCTGCCTCTCTCTTCCTTCCAGGGCTCGAGGGTCCAGGGACTAGCAAGGGGCTGTCACTGTCACCCTCCCTAGGAGGACATAGCACTTCCCCCCCTAGCTCTCTCCCCCCTTGAAATATGGATTTAAACTTGATTTCACGGTGACAAGCCCCCAGGTCACAGGCTGCAGCGGCTGCTGCTTTAATTAATACAAGTCCCAACGTTAACAAATTATATTTAAAGGGGTTGGAGGGAGGGGGAAGGGCGGGGGACACCCCCCCCCCCAACTAGCACCAGAGTTAACCCCTGGCGGCCTGCAGTGCCCAAGTTTTGGCGCTGGCAGGA